TCTAACTTGGGAATCAATGGAAACCTAAACTGCATGACAGCGTGTACATGATCAACCTTTGTATTTCATAATCATCATCCGTATTGGGCCCATCAAATGTAGCTAAAACATACTTGGTCACTGTGGTTCCACAGCTGTTCAAAAGCTCGGGGACGACAGGTAAGACGACGGAGTTCACTGTGTCTAAACCCATTAATACTGATAAATAACTGGTAACTAGCACAAAAGTATGGTCAGTGTCCCAGCGCTCCGGAACAATGCATACCATGCATGCCAGCGTCACACAAGGTGGTTGTTATCCCAGTTAAGACTGCTATCTTCTGAAGCGACTGCGTTCACAACATAGGCTTTGGCATGTTTATTTGTTTCCTGGTTCATAAAGCTTTTCAACTGCCAGGCGGGAAGTGCACTTCTTGGTCTAACTTGGGAATCAATGGAAACCTAAACTGCATGACAGCGTGTACATGATCAACCTTTGTATTTCATAATCATCATCCGTATTGGGCCCATCAAATGTAGCTAAAACATACCTGGTCTATGCGGTTCCACAGTTGTTCAAAAGTTCGGGGACAACAGGTAAGACAACGGAGTTCACTGTGTCTAAACCCAGTAATACTGATAAATGACTGGTAACTAGCACAAAAGGTGTCTATCATCGCCATTTCGCCTTGGGTCTAAACTAACCGTGCCGTCAAATCGCGCCTCGTATGAACTGAGGCGTTTTACTTGCACACGAAAATCTCCTGGTATTAGGATGATATCTGAACATTTTGTGGTGGATTTGAGAGTGGTTACTTTTTGACAGAATTCCCTTTGGAGACCAGAGCCTTGGTTGACTGATACATAAGTGGAGGCTATGGCAAACAGAGGTTACTACTGCAGTTAGTGCGAGTTCTTACGAAGTGGACTAAAGAACGAAGGTCGGACTAAAGAAAGGTCACTAGCGAAATACACCCATTTGCAGACAAATTTGGTTTTGCGAGAGATTCACTCGGAACCAAGCTGGATTTCTCGGCTTTGAGTTTTCCAAGCAACTGAATGTATTGCACCAGGCCGCTTCATGTTTCAGTCGCTACGATACTCGAGATATTGCGATACATATATATTTTTGTAATGCATTACTCAAAAACCAAATTTGTTTACAAATGGGTGTATTCCGCTAATTTCGTGCAATTTTAGTTACAAATAGAACATAAGGTTGACGGAAACTCGGATACTGCGCCTACCTGATGAGCCCCAAGAAGGGCGAAACCGGTCGACGGCTGTCGAGGAGTTTTCAGCAACCTTATGAGTAATGCATTACAAAAGAAGGTCACTGTTTACACATCTCCATTCAAGCAAGAAAGCCTCGCTTTGGATGTTGAGGACCATATCAGAACTGGCGTAACCAGCTGCGGCAGTTGACGAATCACTTGATTTGTGCAGCCAATATTGTTCAGATTGCAAAGGTGCCATAAGCTCGTTTGCTTTACTTAGCGATTTTATTCCAGCCTCAGAAATGCAGCAAACATCTGTCAATAAGGCATCCAAAAAGCGCGCAAAAGTAGCTTGTTGGTCAGAATTATTGAGGGCTCGAACAATAAAGGCAACAACGAAAGCGAGGAAACGGGGTCTGAGTAATGAACTTAGAGCGTAGGTATGAGTGATGTGCACTCGGCTGCTTCCCTGAATATGTCACTGACACGCTCATGAGTGGGCTGTCACGAACAGTTGCAAACAAATGGGGCGGGATGCTAGGTAAGAATCCACAATTTAAGAAGACGGGAGACTCAGTAAGTAGTAGCCTTTTTTCGCCTATCCGTCCCGCCCTATGCAGCGAATAAGGCGATCAGAATGATGTCACCACGTGGTGGCCGACTTGGTGTGAAAGTATTGTTCGATTTCGTAGTACATGGTGGAGGATGGATTATGGTACTGTGTGAGTACCCCAAACTTAAGTGTAAGGACGATGCGGACCTTCAGCTGAAGTTTCTGGCTTGTCCTAACTGCAAGGTTACGGTAGTCGGCTTAAAACTGGTTTTTGGGAAACAGGTTACCAGCTTTGTTGGCAATGAAACTGGTTTTGTCAAAGCTCTATTCACTGAAGGACCTGGTCAAAGAGGTTCTGTGCAAGGCACTTGAGTGACCTTCAATACAGCCGAGTGGGTTTATGGGGTACGCAGACCATTGCACCAACATATGGTAAAATTTTCATCGTGAAGGAAGCAACGGAATAATCACTTACAAATCAGGTGGATACGATGGTGTAATTTTGTTGAGCTACAAAGGAAACTTAAAGTTCCAATTGCTGTCTAACGCAAAAATCTTACGGATGCTGAAACGGTCGATTAAAGGCGCCATATATCCAAAGAACTGCAACTACCCAATTGGTTCGCATATGCGGTAACTGTGTAGCTAACTGGAACTTCATAGCATATTCCTTTCTCCGACCTGTCCTGGATGTGGACGGTTCTCCATATTATATTAGTTCCAGTCGCTAGGCAATATCTCTAAATTTGCTTGCGAACTGGTTGCCCGACGTAGAATAAAATATAGTTCTGATTACAGTGGAGGTATGGGGGACATTTTCCTATCAGATACCACAATGTTTTAATTAGATACCTCTTTCATATTCGCGGCTAAATTTTAACTAGTCGGAACCGAGATAGCTTGGTGGTCAAGGTGCAGACTTACTCACCAGGAGGTCCGTGGTTCGAACCCAACCTCAACATCTCGATTTCTCTTGTCCAGACCTGGCAATATCTCAGCCGTTGTGCTTCCTTCATGTGTCACCCATAGGGTGCTACAGCTAAACAACTATTGTCATCATACCCTAACCAGTGCAGCATTTGTGTTCGCGGATCCAGGAACGAAAAGCTCATGGGGCAAGATAGCATCACTAAAACAGGAACGAAAAGCTCATGGGGCAAGATAGTATCACTGACACAGCAAAAAAATCGAATACCGAGTTACGTGAATCGCTGTTTATAGTGGCTTTCCGGCTATTACTCACCTGGTCTGGACGAGGAGTGCTTGGCCGCAATAAGAACGGAAAAATGAATATTGAATCAACTGGGAACAGCCTTCCTTAGTGAAGCGTTTGCTCTTCTCTGCTGACCAACTTATGGTATCATCTGCTAGTAGGAATCACAGAAGTTGTGATGCTGGGCTGGAATTCATCTTCGCAACTGAATACCACATCGTGCTTTGCTGGTGGAACCCTGCCAAGGCACGTTGAGTCGCATGTGCATCCATTTACTCGGTGTAAACTCACGGGAGTACGAATGGAGCGTGGATAGAGGGTAGAAAAGGTTCAAAGCCATAGACATTCCTGGTCAGCGGCTCTTAGATGTCACATCAAATGAAACCCTGAGCTTCAAAGTACATGCAAAGGGTGACCCGCGTCACTCGTGGGATTCTTCCCAAGCACGCACAAATGGCTAGCTAGTACCAGTCATTTTTCAGTTAGTTCTGCATAAAATTGGTCACAGAGTGCTACCTCGATCACTGTTGTGAGATTAACCCTCCAGAATATGCAACATTATTTGGATCACTAGCACATGGCTGCATGAAATACACATAAATAGAATGGACAAATGTACATCAATCCATAAATGAGAACATTAAATTACGACGTGATACAAAGGCCCGAGGAAAGAATGAAATAACGGGAACCTGTAGGAACCACCAGCGACGTGCTTAGGATGGGGAGATGATGACAACTAGGTGTTCGGTGCTCACAGACTGTGCAAAAAGTTGTCCGGTGACCCGTACGAATAACGAACAGCTCCTAGACATGTATGCACATCCAGCTAACTGTGGACACTACTAGGTTTGATCCACAGAATCATCCCAAGATGAAGTAGTTCGGAGTGCTGATTCAGACTAGGCACTCAGGGCTATCTAGGGTATCAAAAAGAGGGTTTACTGAGACAGGTGGAGACAATTTAACAGTTGGACCCAAAGGATGCTCACTACATATAAATGAGGGGTTGCATTGCTAATAAGCCGAAGCCAGAATACATCCCAGTGGTGTTCTCTTGCTGACATAGTTCGGCTTGATTCCGTCTACAAGACAATGATCATCAAAAGTCAATCCCAGCACAATCACAGGTTCAGCACACCGATTTGCTTAGTGTACCACGGCGCTTTGGTTGGTTTTATTCCGTCACAGAAATCCCTTCCCTCCGACGTTGCAAGGCTAGACATCTGGTAACCTCGGGAGCTAAGGCCAATCTAGTAAACATAATGGCTGCGTCCAAGCTTCATCGACGGATCGTCATATATCTGCCGCTGACGAACGCGGCGAACATAAACACAGTCACGGTCTCTATAGATCCAGCTTGTTCACTCTACAGGTCCAATAACTCCGATGGTGCTATTTCATCCCTCTGTACTGTTTAAGTGCAAAACCAAGATATATGTGGTCCATCTTCTAGATGAAACCATGAAACCTGTGGTTTACTTGAAGTCGAATAGGTTGGGCTACTGTTCTTGGGCTTCGGTTTCATTGAATAAAAGGGAAATTTTGTGCAACAGAAAAGTGCATAGAATTTTCACTGTACTATCAACTCGAACCAAATGTGAGAACTCTTATTACTGAAGCAGATTATCCAGCTAATTTGTTGAAAAGAAAAATGAAAGCAACTAAAACGAGCACCGTAATCTCTCCAATGCCAGTACAGCTTGTTTATCTGAATCTGTTATGCAACTCGCACAGGGTGAGCTAGCCTTTCATAGAGAAGCCCTTTCCCTCTCACTCCAAAAGCATACTTCACGTAACTGGTCTACAGTGTAAAAAAAACTAGGCGAAAATATTTTGCTATGCTTGCCATCCTACTGCTTACATGTGACCACCCGGAAAAAACGTCTCTTATGGAATGATGTAAATATATATATATAACAGTCACACAGATCATTGCTAAAATCAACTGAATTTTAATGGACACTGACACATTCTGATGTCGGATATCATGCAGTCCTTACGGCGAAAACAGTGAACTTAGTTTCAAGGCTCTATAATGGTTGTTTATCCGGTCCAACAAACTGACTTCTCCAGTGCGTATAACCGCACAGTGTGCTTCTCTAAGAAGGCACGTCGCGCTGATTGGTCAGTCAGTTGTCGGGCATGTGATTGGTTGAGCATGGTACAGAACAGTGTATCAAGGGTCTACGTGTCGACAACTCTTCGGAAGACCGTCACCGTCCGGATGTTTATACGTACCAGATTAATTTTACTTTCGTTTTATTTGGTGTCGGCCCATGGACTACCGTATCAAACACGCCGTTTGAAGCTTTCCGGTGTATGGTACCTCATCGGATCCAGCGGTAGTTGGCCCGTTGTGTGTGAGAACTCCGGTGTGGATGCGTATAGTACTCAGTGGATAGCTGGTCTAATTGGTGATCCCCTTGTCGACCAACATGATACAAAATACCGATACATTGGACGGGAAAACTGGACGTTTTTGCATCGTTTTCGTTTCCCGCCTACATTAGGCAATCCTATTGGTATCGAACTCCTTTGGGATGGAGTTGACACATTCTGCGATGTTACTCTGAATGATGTCCACCTCGGTTTCGTGAACAACAGTTTTTTGTCGTTTGAATGGGCAGTAGAGAAACATATTAGGCCAAATCAGCTCAATTCGCTTCTTCTTGATTGTCATTCGACAATCTTAGTTGCATCTGGTTTGGCCCAGGCAAGGAAAAATAGTGGCTTACCCAAAGTGCCGCCAGAATGTTGGCCAGATAATTTTCACGGAGAATGCAACATCAATTTGATTCGCACCACGCAAGCCTCTTTTGGATGGGACTGGGGTCCAGCGTTGCCCACTCAAGGATTTTGGTCGCTTCCACAGTTAGTTCTTTCCTATGCTTCTGTTCGTTTTGGCGAAGGTTTCAAATTCTACTCGATCCCTGGCCGGTCCAATAATCGGGTGTCTTATTCCACTTGGAGTGCACACGCCGTAGTTGAAGTAGTACCGGTTGGGACGGGCGAAGAAACCTTGCAAAAAGTGCAAAGCTTTTGCATCAACTTTGATATGGATGTATCCCTGAATATTGGGACTGTTGAGCAGTGTTTTGTAAATGTGACTCTTCATGAGAACCGAGACTTTTCCATCTTACTGTTTGAACGCAAGGTGGGGATACAGCCCTGGTGGCCCAATGGAATCGAGACTGGCCCATACACCTACACACTTCAGATGAAACTTACAACTTTGGAGGGTCACCTGATCGACCGCGCAAAGCATCTGATTGGATTTCGGGAAGTTAAACTTATGGAAGTAAGTACGGCATCAGTCCCTATGCTGTAAGTTCGTCAGTCATGTTTTTAAAAGATATGATTTTTAGCCCAGCCTATGAGCAGTTGAACAATCACGATATGGTGTGTTGATTCCGTTCAAACGGCACTAATTGGCCAACCTTATATTGAGGGATGTGTGCATACATTGTTGGCAAAATAAGAGGTAACTCTGTAAAAGCTTATTTCGCTGAAGGTCATTTAACGTTAGAACACTCGGAAAGTGCACCCCTCGAATTCGTAATTTATATGAAACGGAGTATTTTTCTGAACTGGCGTTGCAAACGAAATTTTTATCGATTAGTATAGAAAGAAATAGGTCGCGCTCGGCGAGAAAATCCTCCAAACAAGCGGATTCGAACTTAGGAAGTACCGAAAATGCTTTTTTTCCAGCTACCACGAGAAGTTGAGATGCATTGATTAGGCACTGAAAAACTTTTACAAAAATACGGAAAGGGAAACTTACCGCGTTTTTATCAACACAGTCGACTGGTTGTTACTAAATTAAGGTCTTATTCAACTGAGTGCAGCGAACTTGTCTAAGGAGCTATTGAGCTGCCGCGTAGGTCTACGCTTGTCACATGACCAAGGCAGACTCGGATTTCACAGGAATCATTCGATGCAGCATGTTGCTGGGCTTCACATTGTGGTTCCACTGCATTTGCCGCAGTGAATCGTCGGTGAATCGATATTGGCAGTACTCGGTAGATGACTTGAAACCACTTGCTAGGTTTGAAAACGTGACTAGTGCCAATAACGCGCGACTTAATCCAGCCTTGCTTCATGCTATTTAGTTTAGCAGTATACGAATTAGCGAGATGTTGACGTATTCCCTGAGCAAGATGCCGCGCCGTGTTCCCTAAATTTGGCCAGATGCTACTGGCTTTTAACCATTAGTGTTTGCTCAGTAAGTTTTTTATTCCCATCCTAACCACTAGATAGTTACAGCCTACTTTGAGTAATACCGTGTGCACCCTAAATGTGCATAAATCCAACTGTTCGTTCAAATACACTAGTTAGTTCAGTTCCGCATCGTGTGTTCACCTCAGTAACTGTCCTTGTTGTGCGAAACGGTTGAACCGCCTGCCAGGACGTTCCAGTCAGGTAGGGCCACGTAGGTTGCAAACCTACTGGGGAAATTTTGATTACCTGTAGATAGTTGCAGGACATGTGGAAGTAACACTTTCTACTTTTCAATATTAAAAGATTGAAACAGTTTTCGGTGTTAAGTGATCACATTTCATCTTTAGTGGTGTTTTTATTTGATTTTGGTGGTGTCGAAATAGTGGTGGCTCCGGTGAGTTTATTGGTTGTTGATCAGGTGGCTGTTGATCTGTTCGCCAAACTTGGCAACTGGCTTGCAAACGTTTCGTCACCACACGACGATACATCATCAGTGCGCAGCTGGGCGGGTACTTCCTCCTTGCCCGCGTTCGTTTGTACAGCACTCCAAGGCTATCTGTTGTTTCCTGAGACGATTGGCTACTTGGAGTGTAACGAATTTAGTGAAACGTTTGCAAGCCAATTGCCAAGCTCGGCGAACAGATCAACAGCCATCTGATCAACAACCAATAATTATTTGATTTTATTTATATGCAGCGGTCTTAAGTGGCAAGCGCTCGTGATCGGAGTTCGCCGAATATTCACCCTAGTACTTGTCTGTCACAGATTATAACGATGCCGGGAAAATGACAAGCTTCAATAAAGGAATAGTCACGGGAGCTACCAGAGGAGCTTTGAAAACCCAAACTATGAAGTGAAATAAATGTGAGAAATACCCCCATTTACAAATCAATTTGGTTTTCATGAGACTCAACTGAATCTCTCGTCTATGATATTCTACAACTGAATGTGCTGCACACAGGCCGCCTCATGTTTCAGTTGGCACCAAATTGATTTGCAACTGAGTGCACCTCTCTAAAACGGTCCGATTTGGATTCACGTAGAGCATAAGATTGACGGGGACTGCGCCTACCTGATGAGCCAGATGAGTCTCTCGTGAAAACCAAATTGATTTGCAAATGAGTGTACTTCTAGAAAACGGTCCAATTTGGGTTCAAGTAGAACATAAGGTTGACGGAAACTCGGGAACTGCGCCTACCTGATGAGCCCAAACTGGAAGGGCTAAACCGGTCGTGGTCTGTCGAAGTGTTTTCAGCAACCTTGTAAGTAGTTTACTTTATGAAATAAATTTGGTTTAAACGCGTGACCTACAACAACTCAACTTCTATAGTGGTGGGGACAAAACTACCGCCATGGCTCATAGAAAACAATGTTTAACGTCCGAAAATGCTTTAAATTATATATTTCAAGCACATTACTACAGTATGTTAGCAATAAACTAACTATGGTCTGGTGGCAAAACAGTCGGGAAGGAACCAAACTGAGCTGGTGTTAGATCCGGCGGTAGGGCTGTTCGTTAAGTCGTTTGAAGGACATGCTCTGGCAGTTTTGAAGCACAAGTTGTCTGATGCGACAGGAACACCGAAGAGATTCATTGAAATATCTAAATGTGGTGAAAAACTGCATATAATTCTGTCTCCGTAGAACCCAATTTTGTGTGTATACCCATTGTGAAAGGCTCAGATGCCAAATGGTTTCTTCCATTATAGAAAATAATCCCGTTTTCATTGAGGTACGATGGTGTCACGCCATCTCCAACCTTCGTTATCCATTCGAAAGGGCTTTCAAAACAGCTGATCTACGGATCGGCCTTTGTTAGCATCCATCGGGAGTCAGCCGAAGATAAGCTGGGCGGGGAACAATGAATTCTGCAATCTAAAGAACCGACGTGTTTCACATCCAAGCGAACTTTCATTTTAACGCCGAATAGGATACTTTATAGTTATTTTGTACAATCCCAACATGAAGTGGGCAATGGATATGCATTCATACTGGGGCTTTATGCATTTGTTTCCATAGGATGTCCTTTACATTACCCGCCTTCTCACTTTCCACTAGTCTTCTTTCAAAGAAAGCATTAAATCAATCTCGAGGCCTTGTGTCGAAAAGTCAACTGATTATTATAATTAGGATAACAAAAATTTCTGACATGGATCGCCTCCTTTTCTTTCTTGGAGGAAATTTGGACTTTCTGTTGTTTTTTTGGCTACAAAGATGATGTGATGATGATGATTGTGGTCCGCAGGGATTCCAGTGTTTCGTTCTTGTAAATCCAACAAATGGACAATGGCTACCTCAATGGAATCCGATTGCCAGTTGATTAAGACAGACATTTGTGCATTTCACCTCCGCTGACTGCCTAGCGAGTTGATTTGCCGTGTGTCCAAACTTTAGCGAACACCGAAACTATTCGATAGTAGCTTGCACCCATCGAGTCTCTCCGTTCTATCTCCATTTTTGAACTAGCGTCATGCTTGTGCGTTTCGTGTTGCTTCTTTTTAATCAGGAAGTTCCACAATGTCTAGTATCTGCCAATTAAATGCCGTTCGGTCGAACCTCTTGACAGTGTATAGTCCATATTTCTTTAGTTCTGAGCTGAATTGTGTTAGCGCACTTTGGAACACCCTGACGCATGTCGGTCGGTAAAGTTGGCACTGCCTAAACCGCAACTCCATCATTCGATCCGTCTTTCTAATGTCAACAGTGTTGATTATTGGTTCGCATTGTATACACAAATGCATCACGTGTTTATGAAGTGAACGTCATGTTGAGTATCGGATCGCCAGGCCTTTGCACTTCGTTCGAACGCCACATGATTTTCAGTACACAGGCAGAAAGCAATCCTTGTGTAATGTTATAAAGACCGTGGTTTAGACACACTACGCTGATGACCACTCAAAAACTTTGGACGGTCATTATGAACACCAAGGAAGGAAATGCATGAAACTATTGCCTTTCTTGCATTGATCCAAACTGCAAACATGTTGAACGTTAAAAAATGTCCTCTTTCAGTTTAGAGACTTTGTATCTTCTTCGCAGTATTAACTTCTGGTATCCTGTGGAGTGCACTACTGGTTTCTCCCAACTTTCTTTCAACTTTAAATATACTAGAGGTGTACGTAAAAATAAAACCACCTACGAGATCTTACTGACCCTTCTTTGAGTAGTCATCAAAGGAACCGGCCAAAACCAAGTCAATCGATACAATCTTTGTAAGTTCGAGTAATGAGTAAAGTATGTTAACTGCTCTGTTCAGCAGCCATCGTGGTGTAAGCTTTAGATGGATCAACATCAAAGTGAATCATCCCTAAGGTGCTTCTCCGATTCCAAGTGTAGCTTGAAGTTTTTCTTGTGGAAAGGTACTTACCAGTGAATTCGGATACCTCTTCACAATTTCTCATATACGCCACCAACTACCTCTTGTTGAAACGTATGACGCGTCGGGATGTGAATAGATTTGAAGGCAAATTTAATTCTACCAGTATTTTAGTCCGGGTAACCATATAGTTATCTTGTTAGGACTTTCCTTCACGCTAGACTGGGTATTTTTATGTGTGTGGTGTTACAACTTTCACTGAGTTTCGGTACCCTTTCTCTCCTTGCATAGCTTGGGTGGCCTGTAGAACATGATCCTGAAACGGTAGACCTCCCCACATACCTGATTTCTTGGAACAACACTAAAACATTACGTGCAAATCACACGCAACGTCTATGACTAGACCAACAGTGTTTGAACTCTGGCTATCTAAGAAATTTCTACCCATTGCTAGAGTTGGCTGTTTTTATTGATCATGAAAACAGTTGTTTAAACACTAGGCTCAAAACCTTGAGTGAAGGCAAATGAATAAAATGAGATCATGCTTGTCCTTTTTTAGAACTTGTACAACGTAACTAACTATAGTAATAAAAATCTAGCTGAATAGGAGGAATATCAGGATTGACGAAAGCAACTCTCTAAAGAGGTGAACCCTCCTCTGCTCATTCTTTATACCTGTTGGCAGGTAGTGTAATGCACACCCTTCTGAGCAGACTACTGTTCTTTCTTTCCCATTAGATTGTCCGATAGCTGAACGGGTCTAC